GTGGGGGGGGGGGGGGGAGTTGCATTCCTTTTAATACTGAAAGCTGAATATCCTTAAAGCCAATGTATATAATAGAATTATATGCACAAATATCTAAATATTAATAGTGTGGCTATCCAACTCACGTCTACTCAGAAGCCTGCCTGCCTGAATTCAGATTTTCTTCCTCCCAGTTCACTTGTTATTGGGATCCATGTTAAACAGATTCTAACAGCAAAGAGAAATGTTACATTTTTTTCCAAAACCAATTAATGGGAGCTAGTTATCTGGGTTTATTGCCTGTCCCCTCTGAAATCACAAATATGCTTCAGCCTTGTTTCTTCTCTTCAGGTTTTACTTAGCAAGGAACAGTTGCTCAGGCTCAGTTTTCAAGAAATTGTAAATGCTGTTTGCTTTTGTCCAAGCCAAGCGTTACCAAGGATTCTAGCACCATCATTAAAGGATTTAAAAGCCTGTTCAATTATCCAAAGTTTTGCTTATTTTTCCTTCTTTAGCATTATCTTATATTTTAAACAATTCTACCAGTTCCAAAGAGCTGTCGGATAAATGGTTCTTTGATACCCATTTCCAAACATATACCTTTGCTGACTCAATAAATTATATTAAGCCAATCTTAAGTCATGTGGCATTGTGGTAATCATGAAGACGTTTGGGATCAAGTTCCTGCTAGTCATGCTGGACTTCCAGAAGCGATCTTGACACACGCACAATGTTTTCTTTGCACTCGCAGAGAAGGAGTTTGTCTTGTCTTTTTGTGGGATGTTCCTTGGCCTCCAAGTCTGATCTGCAGCTCTGGCATTTCTGTGCCCATCCAAGTCCCATTTTCTTTTTTATAACACTCCATTATTTATAAATGTTCTTATAAGGTGAGAAGCCCAGACCATGTCAAATATAGTGCTCCTGAGCTTCATGGAGGTGTCACACACCTCATTCTGATTAGGATGAATCTTGGAAGAACAGCTCTGGAATTGATGCTTTGTCCATTTAATCCTATTGAGTGGCCGAGGTATTAGGAGTGGAGAGCATGTGAGGGATTCCCTCTTGGTTTCTCTCTTTCTGTCTGCTCTGCTTTTCCTTGATTGGAAGAATGACCCTTTTAGGCTTTCCCCCAGCCTTCTTCGTGCAAGTCCAATTCATCACATCTCCTTCTGTTTCTTTCCACATCATGAAGATTAACAGCTGAGAGATGCAGGTTTTCTACTGCAGAATGCAACTGCAGTGATAAATGGTATTGCTCTTTTTGGAGTCAAGCACCTGTTTCTAGATACTGTTTATGGGATTTCTTTATCTCATAAGTGTTTGCTCTGCTAAACGCGAACCTCAGTGACTGAATTAGAGGAGCTCTGTCTGGCTTATCTCAAAATTGTCCTTTCCTTCCCCTGACAGCAGAGAACATAGCAGCTTGGCAGCCCAGGGCAAAATGATTGCCCAGAGCAGTAACCAGCCACTGGAGAGTAGAGGGCATGTCAGGCATCACAGCCAACAGAGCTGGGGCTGCCATTAGGTCATAATGACACCATCCACTCTGCAGGATTAAGAGAGCTCAGGATGGAAGACAGCAGTTTTGAACTGAGGCTGGAAAACATGAGCACAGTGTGCATTTGCAATGAGGTAGGATTGGGAGAAGGACGATATCACTCATTCCTGCATTCAGGAAGTGGTGGGTGCCCCATAGTGGCAACAGGCCAAACAGAAAGTGCTGATCTGCCCTTAGTTTCCTGTTCCCAGATTTGGACATTTGTTGCTTTCCCCAGTCAATTGCACCATCTTTCTCTGAATTTTTCTTAAAACATGGTATTCTAGTTTTTCTGAAAGCTGCTTAAATGTGGTGCTCAGAATTGAATATAGCACCCAGAAACTAGTAGTATTGTTACTTCTTGTGATTCAGAAACTATATTTCTATTGTTTCAGCCTAAAATTGTATTGAAGTTTTTAGGCGACATTGTGCACAGCAGGTTCCTATTTAACTTTTGGTCAGTTCCAATTCCAAGATCTTGCTCACATATACCAGCCAAGCATTTTTTTTTTTAAATCTGCACTCAGTCGTTACCGACTCTACGGTGACTGCTTGGACG